ATCGATGAAGCTTCGAAATGATAAGGTGTGGCCAAGACCTCGTTGGCCACATAGAGAAAAAAAGAAGAAGGAGGGGGGCCAGACAGTACCAGTGACGATGCATGTCTGTGTGAGCAGCACACGCCTGGGGAACCCCCCCGGTCCGAGTTTCCACGCCCCGCAGCGTGAAAACTTGAACCCTGATGGGTTCTCGCAACTATGACCCTATCATGGTTGCCGAGAGGACCATAAATCTCACATTGCCAAATTTAATTCCCACGCTCCTCACCTACAACTCAATTACATCTTCTACATCTCGCAGTTCATCGCCTTGTTCCGAAATGGATACCCCACATGATGATGCACCGCACAGCTCCTCAATGCCTCTCCGAACAAGATTACCCTTAAGGCAACGACGCCCGTCCAAGACCACATTTGGCAGAATCGAAGACGGGCAACCATGAATCACTAAAGCCAGCGACCTAGCCAAGACATCAGCCATTGAACTGCCGATCGAAAGAAGGTTTCTCTCTCTCAGCTCAAAATTCTTCATTCAGCCGACGCTGAAGGCAAAACTAGATTAGATTAATCTCTTGCGCCGGCATCAGGTTTCGTATCTTTTCGACCCTCACCATCGCCAGCTCTAATTTCTTCGGATCTTCGTCTCCGTGCAGCGGCAATGGGAGGTACATGCTTCCTAACTACACTGATATCCTCATTCTGTGGGCGGCGCCTCAATTGCAATCGTGATGTTGCCCTCGCGCTATGAGCCAATTTTGCCTTCGTTCACCTGTCACCTTTGGCTTCGTCTCCTCCGAATGACGAAACGAATATTTACATTGGACATTCACTCTACGCGTACCCCGTGAATCCTAGCCAGGTCTCTCCTTACGACAATCTCTACGCTATTTGTGGGGAACGACCTTCGAAGCGCTATCACGGTAGTCCTTCCTATGTCAGCTTCGAGCGCACGGCTGACGTAACCTGCCACAAACATGACGTTATTGACGGAGGAACGATGTTCCACCGCCAGTGGCCGGCTCTGCTGTTAGCTACACGGAGCCTCCACGGCCGCTGCTCCTGGAGCACGTCCGAGACTGATCTTATCCGCGTCCCGCGTGTGATTCCTCTTCCGTCCTATCTTCTCTAAGCCGTCCTTGCGTGCCCATCCCGAGGGAACAGTACAGTCTTCCCCAGTTCCGTGCGGAAGTCCTGACCTTGAGTGACCTACGCGGATCCTTGCACGAAGGCTGCCATCGCCCCTTTGGATCCATGTTTCCGGCCTGTTGCACATTGGTCGCGGGAAGGTCACACGTCCACTAGTAATGCAGCTGCTAACGTAGGCCGCGCTCATCAGCGCTACGCGCTCCAACGAAGCACGAACCGGGTACTCTCCCCCTACATTTGGCGGCGCTTGGCGCGGTAGGTCCGGGCCTGACCAACAGCAACCTTCAACGCGGGAATCACGAACCTACTGATACGCTGGAAGCCACCGTCGAACAACAACTCCAGTATGACGTGAGAAGGAGCAACAAAACCTTCACGGATAAATTTGGGTCGCACTTGCCACTTGCGTCCACAACCCTGCACGTTGCCGATGACGCAAACTCCCCGTCATTCACCGTCTGCTCGCGAAGTCCCCCAAAGGGGAATGAACACGGAATCTTGCAAGCCCAACTAGACGAACGCACTCAGGCTTCGGCACTACCATCAACCTCGCGAACAAAACCTTGGTCACTGGACACAATCTGGCACGTGTCTTCCGCAAGTATTCGTGAAGGTCAAGGGACCACCTTTGGCGAGGCCTCTCCCCTCTCTCGGTGGTATGCCAAGGCCATTCGGAAGCAAGGCGGTCCAGGACCTGGTGCTCGAGCGGATACGTTGAGAAGGGAGCCTCGGTCAACTTGGAAGATGCCATCGCATCACTTCCACCGAGTCAAATTTCCCACCATGGTCGCATTTCGGAGGAAAAGCTCTATGGTTTCTCCATCTGATAGACTGTCTTCCATGGGGGAAACCATCCGTCTCACGCTCGGTGCGTGATGTGGCCCTCTCGCTGGGATCCTACCTCCACACCATCCATGGCCTGCATGCTGACAACCGGAGTGTGGCGGTGGACTTGTGCGTCGCATCCTTTTTCGAGATCCAACAAGGATTACTTCCTGTGGGTCAATGAAGCTATCCTAAACCCCGGCGCTGCTGCCCCCAACTTTGTGTACGCTGACTAGACTCGATCAGTCCTCCCGTGCCTCGTCCCTCGCTGAGCTCCCTGCGCACTGGTACCCGTTCTTCAAGCCAGCTCCCAGCCGCCAGCAAGAAGCCGCACGGAACAACCAACAGCGGCGGGAGCACACCCAGTCACAAGTCCACGGCGATGAGGACCTCTTGAAGCGTTCCAGGACTCGGGTTCCGCCCCATCACGGAAATGACCAAGGACCATCAGTACACCATTCCCAAGCACGGTGGTCAGGACGTCTTATGGCCTGGGCCCTAAAGGGCAGTTGCACCTCCGGATGAAGCGCGCTGCACCCACAACGCTACTCGCGGGCCTACGGTGCAGAAGCTCCACATCTCCTCACGGACTGTGGAGTTGCTGACCCGCAGCCCTGAGTTTCCCCGCCTGGACTCGCCACCCATATTGGAGCGCCCGCTCCCATCTCGGTGGCGTCCATGCCTCGCAAGCAGTTTGGTCTCGCCCTTTTGTGATCGCGATGTCTCTCCTGTAAACCTCCAAGGACTAACAGGAGCACTCCTGCTTGCAAAACACCTTCACAAACTTTCTACCACTTCATTCACCCCTCCACACGCAGCCTCGCTTCAATGTCTCCATCATCAAAGCGGTCGGCTGCGCCTACTGCCCGGATTACCTAAGAAACGCCGACCGCTTCATCCTCTACATCAAACACACTAAACTACTAGCCCTTCCGTTGATACCAGATCAATCCGAAATGACAGACTAGGTATCGTTAGTCCAAAACCTTTGCTCAGCCTACTCGGAGGCAGAGACGTGGGAATCCTTTGTCACCGATTCAGAGGGCGCTCCTACCTTGCTCCGAACCTGGAGGATGTCGACCATCCTCCATCCCCTTCTCTGCCACTGGAGAGACCATGGGTCCCCGTACAAAACGAATCACCTCCCTGGGACGACCGGAACAGAAAGGAATGCATCCGCCGCGGCTGCCACAAATCTGCTACCGAGCATTCTGACTTCCTCCGTGAGGAATTTTCCGAGTTCATCGAGAACAAGTTCTGGGCTGTCCTTCCATTCGACCTCGTCAAGGATGAACCCTCCCTCCTTCTATCTGCCGCTGCGGTAAGGTGAACGAGACCGAAAACCCCACTCATCAGCGACCACACCTGAACTGGGGATGGCCCTCCGTAAACGAAACCACATCACATCACGCCCCGCCCGAGGCCATGCAATTTGGAAATGCCCTGCCGCGCATCCTGTACGATGTGCGTCACGCAAACCCCAAGTTGGACCCGTCCGCCTCTGCAACATGGCATCAAGGACGGCTTCTACCGATGTTCCTGAACCCTTCCGACTGCATCCGACTCGCGCTGGTGCTGCCTCGCTATGAAGGTGAGCCCAACTGGTGGCCGTCCCAAACCTCCTTCAGTTCGTTGCCAATGCGGTTTAAAAGCGTCCGTTGTCCGGGTGTCCTTTCCGACGGCACCTCGCGGATGGCTAGTGATTTGCGGTATTCCTGCAAGGCCAAGTGTGCGGCCTTGGGCAGAATAGATCAAGCCAATCTTAGTGTACGTTGATGCAGTGGTAATATGCTCCTTCCCCAGGAAGGGCTCTTGTATTGCCAGAGACTTTTGGTAGTGATTGAGAGCACCATCATAGTCTTTCATGTCATGTAGAACTTCCCCAATTCTTCCGTAGCAGTCCGCAATCATGGGGTGCTCTTCCCCCAATATAGTTTGAAGAATTTCGAGCGACGTTTCGTGTTCTCTTGCCGCCCCTTGGAGGTCTCCCTTGGCGTAGAGAACCGACCCCACCGTACCATACGTTCGCCCTGTTTCAACACTGTCAAATCCCAAGGCGGATTGGTAAATGGACAAGGCCTTCTGATATTCTGCCAATGCCTCGTCATAGTAAATTCCTCCAAGTACACAGATCCGATTTTGCAGTACATTCTGCCAAGAAGCAGTGATTTGCTCCAAAGGCCGCCTCTCGTATTTGCAGAGCTCTCTGGAAATGAGACAGCGCGTCATCATGGTGGCCCTTGTCGAGTAGTACAGTCCCAATGGACAGGTAGGAAGTGGCAGTGTCGTTGTGCTGACCCCCCAAGACAGTTTCTCTTATCTCAAGAGATTTCTCAAGCTCGTCCAAAGCATCGTCAAAGAGACCCTTGGCATACAAAGTTTGGCCAATGTTGAAGTAGGTTGTCGCAATCTCAATTCCGTCGATGGTCCCTGGAGATCGAGGGCGTTTTGGAACTCCGATAGGGCTGATGTATAGTCTGCCTTTTCATGGAATGCCAGGCCTAGGCAGTTGTGCGATTCTGCCCGAAGCATGTAGTCGTGATTGTCGTCAAGATCCTGTAGAATCGCAAGGCTTCGTTGCGCCATTGCCACGGCTGCATCAAGTTCTCCGTTCTTTCCAAATATTTCGGAAACTTTGTTGAACAATTGACAATATCGACTCGGTTGCTACATTCTTGGAGCAATCGTTCCTTTTCGGTAACAATCTCGTCAATTGTCCGCCTGATCCAATCCGAAGGCGATCATTGACAGCTTGGTTGAGGACTGCATTGCCAGTATACCTCCGCACAACGCTGAGTATGTTAATTCGATCCGAGGAGACAGTGCTTTTGCTTTTGATACGTGCCTTACTGAGCACGTTATAAAATCCCTCCACACCCTTGCCTTCCTGCCCAAGGAGGTCTTTTCGAGAACTTGTTTCTGGCTGGGAGGCATGACAATGGTGACCTCGCAGTTCATGTAGTGGGCATAGAAGAACTCAAACACACACCAGATGCGTTGTAGAAACAAAGGATCATTCCATGGCGACATCATGGCAAGCAAATGTCCAATGGATTCCACCTGAATCCAAATTCTGCAAAGAAATCAATTCTGCCTGATCCCCCCAACACTCTGGCTCCAGACCGATCTTCCTTTTTCTGCAGAACTACGCGATGTTGATTCACACAAAGACAGCACATCCAGACATATGCTCTCCTTGGGTCTTTCCCGGTGGAAGTACAGTAGTGTACTAGCGTATCCACAATGTCGCCAATGCTGTAAGACCAGGCATAACTCAGCATATGTGTAGCCTCCCCTACATGATCCTCTCCCTCTAGACAATCCACATAGGCAGCTCCTTTTTGTCCATCGACGGGGCAAACCACATCCAGTCCTCGTTGTCGTATCAAACCAGGAGGACCCTGCAGATTCTCAATCTCGTAGATGGTAGATGTATGGCTCAGCCCAGGCGTCGAGATAACCTGATCCAGAAACTCGGTGGCAATATGATGGACACTGGCTGCCCGCCTCTTCTGATAATTGTTGCCGTCACTACTACAACCGGTAGCACTGCTGGCTGCCGTCGTCACAGTTGCATCGTCACTGATGAGATCAGGACTTGACAGAGGGGAGGCCATGGGTTCAGTGACCAGTGACAATGGACTAGGAGGTCGGTCAGGGAGCTGTTGCAACGGGAAGTTACTATGATGACAAATAAATACTAAATAGATACGTTAAGGAGTGAGGGGGGCGAGGCCAGGCAAAGCAGTGGCTGCGGTGGTGGGTGGCTGGCTGTTGTGGTGGGCAAACGGGGAGAGCAATGAGGACGGGGGACGCGAGCAGGGCAAAACAAGGGGGGGCAGGGAAGGGGGGTGCATGGAGGAAAACCAGGAAGGACAAGGGAGCAAAATTAGCGGAAGAGTGCAAGTGCACCATCGGCATCCCAGAGAGAACGACGGTAGCTCATTGTGCCAGCAGGGACACGAGAGCCACGCATACAGAGATGGCGGGAAGTTACTATGGGTTAGAGGGGACAACGCGACTGTGGTGAGGGGTTGCTAGGTTGCCCGGAAAAAATGAAGCGAAGATTTCGATTGATGCGTCAAATCGATTCGATTCATCATTTGATTCATTCAATCGAATCAATCTTCCATCGATGAAGCTTCGAAAATTTAAATGAAAAGTGCCGTCCCGAGTAAAGCACACCCCACTCATTCCCAGGAAGATGGCGAGAAAATTTAGTCTTGGATGAATCGTCCCTTAAATCACAATCGTCCCTTTAATCGTCCCTTATATCTCAAATCGTCCCCTAAATCGTCCCTTAAGCTGAAAATCGCCCCCTAAATCGTTCCTTTTAAGGGACGATTTAAGGGACGATTCCAATCGTCCCCTAAATCATCCCAACACTGTCCCTTATATCCACAATCGACTCTTAAATATAGGGGACAGTCCAAAACCATCCCTTAGTTTTCTACGGGATCTACGCGTTAAATAAGGGACGATTTGAAAACGTCCCTCTATCGTCCCTTAAGTCCAAAATCGTCCTTTAAATCTCGGAGACAGTCGTGAATCGTCCCTACCATCGTCCCTTAAGTAAATCGTCCCCTAAATCGTCCCTTAACAAAATCGTCCCCTAAATCGTCCCTTACAGTGAATCGTCCCTTAAATCGTCCTTTATTATGAAAATTGTCCCTTAGTTAAGGGACGATTCAGTCGTGCAACCAAATCTCGCCATCTTCCAGCAGGATGGGCATTTTCAAAGGATGCCTATTGTTATGATCCAGCACAGGGGATTGAACCCTGACCCCTGCATTCAAAGTGCAGTGTCCTACCATTAGACCATGCTGGAGGAAGTGAAGATATGGATGAGACTTGAACTCGTGACTTTCAGATTCGTAATCGGATGCTCTGCCTTCTGAGCTACCATATCAGTTTTGCGAGGAAGTATGGGCAGGAATTGAACCTGCACCCTTCAGGTCCGAGGCCTGATGCTCCACCATTGAGCTACCATACCAAGGATTCCAGCACAAGGAATTGAAGCCTAACTCCTGCATTCAGAGTGCAGTGTCCTACCATTAGACCATGCTGGAAGAAGTGATACTGAGGGGATTCGAATCACCTGAATACAATGCCCTGAACATTGTCCACTCGGCCACAGTATCAGTTTGCTTGGATGACCAAGCTAGGACTTGAGCCGGGTTCGAACCGACACTCTTCATATCTGGTATCTGATGCTCTTCCTATTGAGCTACCAAGCCATGTGAGGAACCCATACTGGGAATCGAACCCAGATCTTCCGGATGAAAGCCAGATATCCTGCCCATTGGAATATATGGGTGAAAGTTTGGGAAGGAATGGAACCTAAGACTCACTGAGCTGACGAAAGTTGCTCTGCCACTGAGCTACCACACCTGTTTTGTTGTTTCCTCTGTTGCTGTGCATCTTGGGGTTGTTATCCTCTTTAAGTTGAGGAACCCTTGGCTGCACCTGTTGGTATGCGGAAGCTTTCGACCGAGCTGATTGACGCACGTCTGGGAAGTGTGACTCAAAGTACGGTATCTCTATCCCTAATCTGTAGGTAGTCACGAAACTTCCGCATCCCGCGCTGGTCGTCATCTTGGCTCCTCCGCTGTTGCTCTGAGGACACTCGATCGCGGACTGGTGCTCCTTGAGGTTAGACCTGGATATTTGCTTCCCTCATAATTTTGGCGGTTGCGGGGGTTTCCTTAGTATCGATCGCATTCGCTCCATGGCGGCTCACTACGGTACGATATGTAGTTTTTACAAGGAGAAATTGCAAAATTGAAAGCTACCAAATGCTAGCTAGCTACAGTACTAATCAGGCTATCACTAGTAGCTCGTGTGGGAATACGGGTACCGGTACTCTAGCCAGTGGCACGGGCAAGCTGCGCCTACAATTCCGAACATGGACAGCCACAACCACACATGGGTGGACATGCAAAATTGAGAGATTCAAGCTCACAAAGCTTCTTTGGAATGTTGCCAGTAATTGAAGTGTCTTCCAAGTCCAATAGTTCCAAACTCTCATTCAGATTTGCCAGTTGTGGAGGAAACGGACCAACCATACCCATGTTTCCTCGCAGGTCTAGTGACGCAAAGCTTCGGAAAAGACCATACTCGGAAGGCAAAGAACCCGTCAGCTGGTTGATTTTGGCAATGATGCTTCCCAAACTTGTCAAGGTTGCCAACTCACTCGGGAGTGGTCCCGTAACAACATTCTCCTCAATGTTAAAGTGACTCAACCCCGTTAGCAGACCCAATGTTGTTGGCAGGGAACCATCCAACGTTGTGAGCCTTGCAGCATATATAACTCGAAATTTCGGCATGTACTTGTGCACGTCATTTTGAATGGACAGTTCCAGTGGGTTGTTGCCAATTCTCAGCTCTTTCAATTCCCTTAGTTGCCACAACTCACTTGGCAAGGACCCTGATAGGAAATTTCCCTGCACAGCAAAACCTTTGAGTGTATTGGAGAGTGACCCTAGCTCAGATGGTATGGTGCCACTGAGATGAGAGCCAACCAAGTGAAGACCCCAAAGCTTGGGCAAGGAACCGAACTGACTAATGATAGTCCCTCCATTATTGTCTTTGCCCAGCCTGATGTACTTGAGTGATGTCAAAAGTCCCAACTCCTCTGGGAGTGTTCCAGCCAACCCGTTTCCCAGAAGCTCCAAGTTCTCTAGGGTTTGATTCCCGTTGCATGGTTCCTTCATCATTGATGACGAACTGGAGAACCAGGTACATTCGGACGCTCTCAGTAGTCTCGCTCCTGTCAATGCCGCATGAGGATCCAGAGCCGAGAAGCCACAAAGCAATTGATCGTGATGAGAGAAAGAGAGAAAATCTTGGGATCAAAGCTTCCATCGTTGCATGGGATCGAATGGACGATCTGCATCGATCTAACTGCTTTTATTGCATTTTATTTGTACTGGTAATTCTAAGCCTCTGGGCAAGCGCAATCACAGCCACACAGGGATTCAGAGCAATCAAAGCTAAGATGATTGATCCCACACATATCCTGTGGAATAGTTCCAGTAATGGAGGTTCCTAGAAACATAGAGGGTTGAGCATGTGGCGGTCAGAAGACAGCAGACTGCTGAACAGGACCACATAGGGTGCTTCTTACCACCAATTTTAAAAGCTTGAAGCGTCCTGTTCAATAATGTAAATTCAAAGGGGATATTTCCAATCAATCCTGGGTTTCCTTGCACATTGATTGTCTAACAGAGCAGATCCAAGAGGCAACAAGCTGTTGAGATCCAAGAGTTTATGCGAGCACAATTGGATCCTCATAGGTGCCTACCTGTAGGCTAGTTAGCATCCCCAACTCTGACGGTAAAGTTCCATAAAAGTTACTTTCCTGTCCAAGCAACCTTTCCAGGTTTGCACACCCACCGAGCTCTGTGGGGAGGGTACCAGAGACTCCAGTGTTATGGAACCCAAGATCCCTTATCGCAGTCAAGAGGCCTATTGAAGACGGTAAGGTTCCACCGAATAGACTTCTGCTGAAGTCTAGGATGCTTAGTTTTGGCAAGCGAAAGCCAATATCACTGGGAAGTGATCCCATAAGACGATTGGAACTAAGTCCAAGGTGTTTGAGGTTGGATAGCATGAAGAGTTCTTGGGGCAATGTCCCTGAATATGCAAGAAATAAAAGTGAGAAATTCCATTTGTATCCATCGCTGGAGCCATAACTGTTGCACAACTGACCTGTTAGTACATTGTTACGTAATGAAAGGTTTTCTAGTGTGTCTGAGAGGAGACCAATTTCAGACGGAACCGTTCCTTGTAACTATTGATTGAAGAGAAACTGTGAGTATCAGATTGTAGGTGGAAGGGATGAACACAATCACGCTGGCACTCACTTGATTTTGGTACAACGTGAACACCCAAAGTTTCGACAGAGCAAAGATCTCTGTTGGGATTGTGTCACCAATCGAGTTTCGAGATATGTCAAGAATTTCTAAGGATGTTAGTAACCCCAGCTCCCCAGGCAGCGAACCCTGAATGTTGTTTTGCTTGATACCAAGGAACGTCAAACTATTGTTTCCATTGCAAGCCTCATGTCCTCTAACGATTTCTGTTGAGTACCAGTCACACTCTGAGCTTGAATTGCTGTACGACAGCCATCTCTCTGACGTAATGTTTATCCAAGTGATGCCAGGTTGAGTTGATGTACCTTGTTGAAGCACTCTGGGTATTACGTCCTGCATCGTTTGCCGTGCGCATAACATTCTGCCCCCACCTTGTCCGCCATTGTTGCTGTTCCCTCCTGGCGGTCTACTACCGGTGCTGTTTCCTTGTGGTGGCCTGCCAGCGGTACTGTTCCCTCGTGGGGGGCTACCCCCGTTGCCGTCTTGGGCTTCTGCTGCAATAGTCACTGTGCCTCCACCCTGATGTATCCACTCTTCGCCAATTGTGGAAAAGTAGAATACTGCCATGACAAATCGCTGCAGAAGTCTTTGCTCCGAATAGTTTTGCCGGTATGGATCTTGGAGAACCCAAAGGTAGGCTTTTGATACTGCCGTCTCATTGCCAAAAGGGTCCTGGATTAAGACATGCATAGTGGTGTTGGAGATTGGAAAAGGCAAGTCCCAGGTCCAAACAGAATTATTGGTAGGGGTTGGTGCCAATGTTGTTGGGACTGTGGCGGCGGCTGTTTCCTTTCGTCGTTTTCGTGTCCCGACCACCGTACCAACAATAATGGCAGCGGCAATAACCACCATGACCAGAAATCCAATGAATAATATTTTCTGCCGTTTCTTCTTTCGTTGTCTTTCCTGAATCCTGGCAATATCCACCGGATCTGCGTTAGGCCTTATTAGGTCTCCACTGGGATCATCAAGAACAAGACTGGCAACTGCCAGTTGCCGCCCACTGATTGTAGTAGTAGTAGTAGTGACATTGTAGTTGGAATTGTGGTTGTGACTTTGTGCTGTGAATGAATCGGTGCTTGGATCTGTCATAATCGAGAGTGGCTCCCCGTAGTTCCCCACAAGAGAGAAACGAAGTGTAGTAGCTCGTTGCAGTGCTTCCCCCGGAGCACTCCCATAGGCTCCTGGTCTGGTTGGCTGTTGTTGTTGTTGTCTCTGCACAGAGGGTGGGTTTGCCACTGTGGCGTCTGGTTCTCTTTGACTACTTGACGTCTGTGCTGCTGCTGTGTCTCGTGAGGTCTGTGCCGCTGTGTCCCGTTTGTTTCCTCCACGAAAGAAATCCATCTCGCACAGGGTCGACGCATATCTAGGATTTCTTGCCACCTTTGCGGCACATTTTTCTGTTGCGGCAGCTTCGTTTATGTCAACTGCCATTTGAATGAGTGATGGCTGGGTTGTTGTGTTCTTTGTTTCGCTTGCGTATCTAGGAGTGCTTGCCACCTTGGCACACTTTTCTGCTTTGTTAACTTCATTAAAGTCTATTGCCATTTGAATGAGCTCTTCGCGGTTTCCATGTTTTTGCTCGAGGTTGTCTCGTTCTAGCCGTTCTGTCAGGGCGTTATTGGCTGGTTCCGCAACGATTTTCATGACTTCCCTTTCGGCTCTCGTGCCGAGACTTTCTGCATCAATTTCTTCTCGTTGCCCGGAGTTGGTTCCATAATTTCCATCACCACCATGGACTCCATCCTGCTCTGAATGTTCTCTTCCTTCCATGCTGCCTATTACAATGTCATTTGACTTCTTGGCCGTGACCGAGGGTTGGTGGTGGCGGAGCCGAGTTCCAAAATTGCTCAAGAGGGCTCGTAACACGTCCAATCTTGCAGTAACGCGCATCTTTGCTGGCTTTGAAGGTGCCAGGGGCGGTGCATTGCACTATTAATACCAGGTACCAAGTCAAGCGTACCGGTACCGGTACCAGGGATCCAGCATAGGGTTGGTTGAACCCCTAGCCCTGCATTCAGGTTTGGGGCCTGAGCACAATGCCCAAGAGGGAACCAACCATTGGGTGGGGAGTGATATGACTTGAAGTCACAATGATCTGATTGGCAACCAGATGCTCTACGAATTGAGCTGCCATACCAAGGTGAATCCGAGACCCCTGAATATTCACAGTGCCCTGAACATTGTGCCTTAGACCACTTGGCCACAGTATCAAAGTTGCTTGGACAACCAAGCCAGGACTTCACCAACATGCTTTAGATCTGGAATATCTCTTCCCGTGCCTACATATGAGCTACCAAACCGTGAGAACCCATACTGGAAATTGAACCCAGGCCTTCTGGATGAGAGCCGGGTAGAATATATGGGTGAATGTGTGGGAAGGACTTGAAGACTCGATTTCAGGATGTTGGTACAGGTACAGCGTAAGCACTGGACTTTGTTGGTGGTGGGGTCTTCGTGTGCATCGTCTTTGTTTGCAGAACCCATGAGCGGTACCAGAAATTCGTCCAAGTTTCAAAGACAAAAATAGCAGGCCCTTTCATTCAATGCATAGCAGCATTCAAGGCGATCTTGCAGCCATTCGAGACCTGCAACCGAACGCTGCGATTGTCTTTGGACGATCGTGTGGTAGAGTGCTGCCAAACTGATGCATCACTCCTTGTGCGACGTTGCAGCTCCTGTGTTTTTGCTCAGACACACGAGGTTCTCTGTGGTTTCCATTTGCTTTCCAAAGGAAATCGCAGTCCAACCGTGGCAAATTCCATCGCGTAGCCCTTCATTGATAGGCGGTGCTTCGGTTTTTCTCGACTCAACTCTGTTGCCCCCTCGTTGCGACGGTGCTACGTCGACTGCACGACTAATGTCATTGTATGCTTTCTAGTAAACTACGCCTGGGAGCTGATGGTGAATAGCAATGATCCAACCGGGCGAACACGGCCTATATAGCTAGCTTCAAAAATGTAAAATTGCAATGGAAAGCGTCCCGCCAAAAGCTGATGTTTCGTTCCAAGCGATTCAGCCTCTCGGAAGGTCACGTCGCATGAGTGGCAGTCCTACTGTCCAACAAGTCTTTGAATTTTGCCTCATGATGATGCAAGGTGGAACCGCTCTTCGTTTCGATGTCGCAGTCGCAAAAATCTCCCTGTATTCCGGACCATTCTCTGTCTTGCCTCTTCCTCGTTGGGACACTTGTACAAGACATCTATTCGTCGTCCTTCCATTCCCTCCAGCTGAAGGCCCAAATGGTATTTGTTGTGTTCATGGGTTGGAAGGAAGCGTTTCCATAATCCGCACCAAACGTTGACTATTCCGGGAGCATTGAGAAAGACGACCTCCCTTGGCTTGAGTGGGTAACCCTTGAAAAAATGCTCAAAGGCAATCTCGGTCAGTTCCGGATCCAAAAAGGAACAGTTCGTTCCCTCGCATTCAATAAGCTGGGAGAAACCTTCCCGAATGGCTTGAAAGTCTGGGAACTGACTATTCCACTGGTAGTAAACTGCGCCGAGGAATATCCGTTTGTGCTCGTCCGTCTTGACCTGCTCGGATGGTAGAAAGGTAGCCAGGTCTTGGACTACCAAATAGTTCTTTTGGAAGGGTATGTATTCTGTCGCCAGCCAATTGCCGGGGTGTTGCAAGGAGTATTGATTCACCAGTTCGATGCCTTCTTCCACACTGCCACAAATCTTGTACTCCTTACGAAAGCTCTGTAGCAGAAATGCCTTATCACAGATTCGTTCCAAGCATTCCTCTGGCTTGGCGGTCAAGGCATACTGAACACAAAGAAAATCCGATATCTTTGAGTCTTTGAGTCGGCCGTCCTCTCGGATCGCCGCTCGAATGCCTATCGCTCGAGCCTTTTCTTCCGGAGACAGCTTCATCGACTCTGAGTAATCGTAGGTCCCATCATTATTCTCTGCTCTGGCCGCCATGGTCAACAAGCAGATTGATAATGGTGACAGCAGGGTAAAAAAAGGAAGGCAAGCTACATGTATACCAGAGAGGAAATCTTGGTTGTTGGGTTGTTAATATACCGGGCAGACCCCGGTGATCTCTGACCCCATTTATATACCGGGCAGACCCCGGTGATCTCTGACCCCGTTTATTGTGGTGGTGGTGGGTTTGGTTGGTTGGTTATCCTTTGGGTTAGAGATTTACTTCAACCCCCTCTTTCTCACGCATTCTCATAATAATCATACGGTAGCAACGGATCCTAATATTTTCCTCACGATGCCCACCTCTAAACTCCCGTAAGCTACCACGCCACTTTCTCAGATGGAAAAATCTATTGACTCACGTTGCACACCTCTAAACTCCCGTAAGCTACCACGCCACTTTCTCAGATGGAAAAATCTATTGACTTCACGTTGCACACCTCTAAACTCCCGTAAGCTACCACCCACTTTCTCAGATGGAAAAATCTAATGCTGCCTTGTACACCTCTAAACTCTTGTAAGCTACAATGCCTCTTTCTCAGATGGAAAAATCTTACGTCTCACGTTGCACACCTCTAAACTCCTAAGCTACCACGCCACTTTCTCAGACGGAAAAATCTTACGTCTCACGTTGCACACCTCTAAACTCCCGTAAGCTACCACGCCACTTTCTCAGACGGAAAATCTAATGACACTACTTCAGCCAAACTTTAACAATATTATTATGCCCGCCCATCTTTCAATTCAGCTCGCCCGGTATATCTATTACACCTCCGGTGTCCTTTATTGTGGTGGTTGTTTGGTTGGTTTTGGTTGGTTTTATCCTTAGGGTTAGCGTTTTACTTCTAAACTCCCTTGAGCTACCACACCACTTTCTCAGAGGGAAAATCTAGTGTCTCACGTTGCACCCCTCTAAACTCCCTAAGCTACCCGCCTCTTTCTCAGATGGAAAAATCTAACGTCTCACCTTGCACACCTCTAAACTCCCGTAAGCTACCATGCCACTTTCTCAGACGGAAAAAGGTAACATCTCAGGTAGCACACCTCTAAACTCCCGTAAGCTACCACGCCTCTTTCTCAGACGGAAAAATCTAACGTCTCACGTTGCACACCTCTAAACTCCCGTAAGCTACAACGCCACTTTCTCAGACGAAAAAATCTAATGACATTACCTTCAGCCAAACTTCAACAATATTACTATGCCTGCCCATCTTTCAATTCAGCTCGCCCGGTATATCTATTACACCTCCGGTGTCCTTTTTGTCTACATGTGGGTCGTTGTCAACTGCCGGCGGAAGGATGATGAGGTTGGGAGGGTCGGAGGGAAATAGAGGCATCAAAGGAGGGCGCCTTGAGAGCACAAGTGCGTGGTGGAGGTTCGTGTTTGTGCTGCTTTGTGTTCTTTGCCCGTGTCTGAAAACAGTTGTCACGAAAGAACACTGACGAATGCAGACAAGGAAGTTCTTTGATCACGCCCGCACTTCAAGGCTGTTTCAAGTATTAATAGCTTTCAAGTACAGTACGTACGTGTAACTGTACGTACCTGTACGGTTAGCACTAAAAACACACAGAACAAGCAAGCTATGCATACATGTAGGTCTCGGGCATAGCTTTCTTGGGGAGGGGACCCGGTCCGAGGTGGGTCCATGGCGTCGAGGTCAAGGTGACCTTTAAAGTTGTGGTATGGGAATGGGCCAAACTAACAGGCCTGGGTTGCCACCAAACGTTGCATCATGCCGACGGCACTCCCTCTCAGTTCTCAGTTCCACTCTCGAGCTCTCGAGGTGCCAGGAACGAATGCCAACTCAGTTGGCGGTGCCTCAGGATACTCTACTATCATGCAAAGCGGAAGTGCAGTCAAAGACCCGAAAGAGCGCAAGGCACTCCCTTTTTAGCTGGTGGTGCCTCAGAGCCAGGATGCACGAAGCTCCAAGGATGCACAATGGCAGTTCAGATAGCTACGGCACGATACTGCTTGGTGGATTCCACCTAGTATACCTCAATTGTACTATACGACTTCTCACAGATATCAGTACACACAGATGGTGCCTTCCTAAAAGTTCAAATGTAGAAGTCTAAAAAGCTCTCTTATTGAGAAAAGGAATAGATGGAATCATATGCCATGGGACGCCGAAACAGTGGACGAGAATGCTTTTTCTCTGAAGCGCTGCTGGCAGAATGCACACCCATTGTGGCATTGGAAGGAGGATCTGTCCATTCACACTTTGGACCTTTTACTTGTCGAATCTCACACGTGGAATTGTAACCCAACAGATACCCCCAATGACCAAAACTACCATGTCCATGTGTCACACATCGAGTACCACCCAGAAGGTACAAATCCACAAAGGCATCGTAAAAGTCTTCTGGCACAAGCGACAGATCACTGGCATTGTACATGTCCAAATGAAGGGGTTGTTTTTGGTAGGCTCCATTGTTGGTAGTTGCCACTACCGTGACATTTTTCCTGCGTCCATACTTGATGGCTTCTTGGACGACAAAGGCAGTGTCCGAGGCCACAAAGAAAGGGCCGCCCGGTCGCAACATGGAAATACAATTCATGGCATGCTGTGCCATGTGAATGTATTTCCACTCGGGTCGTTCCTTGACGGCATACACCGCCCGGATATGAGCCGAAGCATATTCTCCCGGAACAAGTCCCAGTCTGTCAAAATTGTCCTTGACACGCTGTGCAATGGGAGGGGATGGAGTGAATGCCCAGTACCACATGTGTCGAAAAATGGCAATGCGATTGTATTGAGGCAGTTCATCGCCCTCCAAGGGGGTTGCATCATACCAGTCTTGACCATAGTCGGGTGCTTGCATTCCCGTGGCGACGATTTGGAACCTTTTGTTGTGTGCCTTGCTTCGAATATCTTCTTGTCGTGCGGTGATTCTGGATTTGACAACAATTTCCTCCACCATATAAAAGGGAACACGCCAATCCAATCCACCGTCGGGTGGCAACAGATAATGCTCCAATGAAAAGGGTTTGTTCCAGTAAATCAACAAGATTCGATTGGTTTTGGCCGCCAATTTGAGGAAATGAGGAAGGGGTTTCAATCGATCGGTCAATCCTCCGGCTTGCTGACCTCGTCTGGCAGTGACAATGAGATAATTGTTGCGTTTGGACTTCCAGTTGTGTTCATTGATTCGAGCACGTTGTTGTCGATGCCACTGGGCATATTCCTGCAGCCACGGTGGGAGATCTGCCGTCAGATCTTTGGGTATAGTCACTGCTGGCGGGATTGTTGTTTCGGGTGGCGCCAGTGTCGTGTTGGGCGCAACTTCCTCGATAAATAATAGCTGACCGTGTGTCGTCGTATTGGGGGTGTTGCCAAGGAATTCCTGATCTTCTGGACTGAGTGGTTCGTCGAGGCTCGAAGTTCGTAGGTCTTCACTCACTTGCAGCAGGATCCTCGAGTTCACCCGCCAATACCCGAGCCAAGAGACCATTATCAGGGTTGCGGCAAACGCGAAGCGGGGTTTGACCGCAGTTTGCATCGTGGTTTTGAAGTGGTTGTGTGTGTGTTGGTGGCGTGGATTTGTGAGGGCTGACAGTGCTGGAACCTTGCTTGGACCCAAATTTGGCAGTAATCGGAACAACCTACGGTGGGCCCAACCAACTTCCTTTCTTTTCAATCTTGCCCTCGTGGCATCCTTCTTTCCCAGAGACATCGGGTGCACTCCAATGACTAAAGTAAGCCCATTAAGCTGGATTGCATCAATCCAAAGTTTCGATCTTTGGTATTTGTCTTCCTTGTACTGTGCGGCTCTACCGTTAGCGTTACCACCCTCTGTTTCAACGAGGCAGAGACACCGTCTTGAACGGGTCAAACTGGTGTAATCTGGAAGGTCACAAAGCAGTCATTGAACCACCCTTCACTACCGTACGGTATTTGCTGCTGACCCAGTTTTCTTTTGGTCCAGGCGTCCAAGCCAGAGGGGGAAGGGAAGGATGGTTGTTGCCGCTTTTGCGCCTTGGATGCTCTCACTGTTACAATAACAACGACCACCTTCCCAACGGATATTCCCATCCATCCCAACCAAGTACAATGATATTGCTTTGGGTATAAAGCTAACCTGCACCACGCCACAATTAATTGATCAGCAACCCAGCATATATTGTTTCAAGAAGAGAGATATTCTGTTTCAGAGAGCTGCAATGACCAAGTTGGCCGACCCTCGTCTCATCATCGTGATCAACATACTCATCGTTTCCTGGTTGGGTTGTTGGCAAATCAGTTCGCGCCTCTTGCAGGTGGCTCCCAGAGCTGCAGATGCTACTTTGGATGATTCCTTGGACTATGACGCTGGGAATGTGACAATGACAATTCGCGTCGGCAACGAGACAGTCGACCAGAATGATCCATTGTCGCTTTTGGTACAAGCTAACATCAGTGCGAGTAGTACTGAGCCTCCAACTCCAGTCACCATTACCACAAACCTTCCTGCTTGGATGCAGGAATATGCCACATGGCATCAAGAAACAAGGGCTCAGCTGAATGAGACCAACTGGAATACACATTATCGCTATCTAGTCATGGTGGCTCGACGAGGAGAACAAGCCGGAGGATTGACCGATCGATTGAAACCACTGCCATTCTTTCTGAAAGTGGCCGCCAGAACCAATCGAATCTTGTTGATTTATTGGAACAAACCTTTTGCATTGGAGCATTATCTGTTGCCTCCAGAAGGTGGATTGGATTGGCGTGTACCCCATTACATGACGGGTGCCGTCTTATCCAACAAGGCTCGTGGAAGAAAACAAGACATTGTTCGACTGGCCAATGCCACTGGTGCTGGAATGCAAGTTATGATTTGTGAGATGCAAGCCAATGACTATGGGCAAGAGTGGTACGATGACAATCCACTCCCAGGGGATGAACAGCATGCTAGGCTCGGCATGTTTCGACACATGTGGCACTGGGCATTCACTCCAGCCCCTCCCATTGCGCAGCGTGTCAAGGACAATTTTGACAGACTGGGGATTGTTCCGGGGGAATATGCTGCAGCTCATATCCGTGCTGTGTATGCCGTCAAGGAACGATCCGAGAAGGAAATGACACAAATGACACACCATGCTATGAATTGTATTTCCATGTTGCGGCCCGGTGGGCCATTCTTTGTGGCATCCGACACTGCCTTTGCCGTCAAGACAGCCATTGAGTATGGACGCAGCAAAAATGTCACGGTAGTGGCCACAACCAGCAATGGAGCCTACCAGAAGCAACCGCTTCATTTGGACATGTATGATGCCAAAGACCCCTCACTGGTACCAGAGGACTTTTACGATGCATTTGTGGATTTGTACCTTTTGGGAAGTACTCGATGTGTGGCGCATGGCCAAGGTAGTTTTGGTCATTGGGGGTATCTGTTGGGTTACAATTCGACCTGTGAGATTCGACATCGCCGGGGACCGAAGTGTTCTTGGACTCCGGCCAAGACAATAACAAACAAGACCGACAGTCAGCCGTCCATAGAGCCATCATTGGCACGCCCGCTGTTCCGACCACCCATGTCGTATGATTCCATCTACTCCCTATATGCATAATTGCTTGATTTTTTGACGAGACCCCTTCTCGTTTTGATCAATCCACACAATACAAAAAAAATTCGTTTGCAATTACTGATGGCCATGACAGTATGCGGCAGAGGCGACTGGAAGATTTTGGTTTACCCAGCCCAGAACGAGTGCTGCATTTTGCTAGCCTTTGACCTGCAATCCAACACCCAGCTACTATGATCCTTAATTTTCATTTTTAAGCGTGACAATTATACAGATTCGTGTGACTTGGATTTTCACTGTTCCAGTTAGAGACTGAGCGTCAAGGTGGGCAGAAGGATTTGGCAGATGCCCTGACCTTTTTTATGTCGGCGGAATGACCGCTCCCATCTGGCCCACGGCGTCCTAGCTAGGTGATAGAACTAACCACGCCGAGGAGTGACCTAGCAGAAAGTAAAGAGCCTGTTTCATTCTGCCTTGTTTGCTATTGACAATCTTTCTTGTAGTCAAAAGTAGCTGGAGCGCCAAGCTTGTTTTCGGCAATGACCTGATTCAACCCTTCGAGTAGTTCCCAATCTTGACAGGCAATGGGTGGGAGCTTACTGTTGCTGTTGCCCATGATGGGTGTCAGATACGAAAAGCAACTGGCAAAATCTTGCGGCGTGGCAGCAATGGGCGAGGCAAAGTGACTTGTAATGATTCGATCGAAATCAAATTGAGTGGCAATCTTGGCCACCCAATCCTTCACCGCATTGGGGGCTCGGGCATCTGCAAATGCCCGCAAAATGGGAGCTCGGACCAATCGATTTTCAATTGCGCCAAAGCCAGGATAATTGTTGTTATTGTTTGTTCGCAATGGCAAAAAGACGGCCTGCAGTACCGTCTTGGGCCAAAAGGTTGGATCGTCTCGTACGGTATCCGTGTCAAAGTAGGTTGTGAAAATGTTGGGTGCATCGGTGGGAATGTACACGACCGCGTCCGTGGCCACCAGCGTCTTGGTTGGTTTGTGACAAAATGCCACTTCCGATACCGGTCCAGCATTTTCCGGGATATCCACATACAAAATGGCCATGTCGAATTCCTTGGCCCAGCTGGGTGGTTGGGCCATGTTGTCGCCTAGAATGCCATCGACACGGTATCCCATCGTGCTCGAAGTTTTCTTGGTATCAAAATCGGTATCCAATCCACAGCTACCAAACGGACCATACTGGCCAGGGCTGATCCAGACTTGAGCCTTTGGATATTTCTGGATAAAGGCTTTCATGGGAGCCTTGTGTTCCAGCGCATTGCACGGCAAGACAATATGCTCCACATCACCCTGCAGCTGATCGAGTAGGTAACAAAACTCTCCCGTGGGCCACTGGGGACTATGCACCCACAATCCCCCGGTGGATTCCAATTGCACCACGTTGCAACGAATGGTCGCGGACACATTGGCAAATGTCAAGAGCTGTTCCAATGCCCATGCATTTCGGCCCAAGGTGTATTGGTAGGTCGCCCGTTTGGCAAAGGGAGGTGTCAAGGTGGGAAAGTAAAAGCGACCTTGATCGGCTGCCGTATTCGGAGGCTGAAAATATTCTTCCATCAAGTAGGGGGTAGTAATGGGCGCTGCAGTGGCATGTTCCGGCACCCAAGTCGACAGCAACCCACCCACCGAGAGTTGCAGCAGATTGGTGTTCCACCACTCTCGACGAGAAAGACTGGACGTTTCTTCCTTAACTGCCGACAGTTTGGTTGGGATCAGCGACAATGAAAAGCACCCAGGAAGGATGCATGCTGGCAATAGCAGCAGCCCACAGCTGATGAAAGACAATGCTGGGCGAAGCATCATCAGTTTGATACCATCCACAGGCTAGTCACTCAGAGCTTGTTTTGAAGCTTCGAGATACTGGTACCGGGTGGAGAGGGAGAAGGATGTTTGGACGTTGTGGATGTTGTCAAGCGAGAGTATTGGTGTCAACCTTTTGAATGACGTCACTGCGTACAAAGTTGATAAGAAGCCAGCAAAGTAGCAAAGAAGAGGCGATGATACCGGTTCTGCAGCCAGGGGGGTCCGGCGAACCTAGTTGAGAAGATGGATCCAGAGAAGATGGCCACAATCAACAATCAACAATAAAGCAGAGACCCTTTCATTCCCCGTGACAACTAATCTTAGTGTATGTGCTTCCTGCTTGTTGTAATTGACACTGAGCTAAAACAGCATCCCTACACAGGGAGAGAGGCGAACCTAGTTGAGAAGATGGATCAGAGAAGATGGCCAAATCAACAATCAACAAGCAGAGACCCTTTTCATTCCCCGTGCAAATTATCTTGTTCTGTAGATGCTTCAACTCAATTAGTTTGTTGTAGTTGGAAGTATTTGCCCGGCACCACAATTTGCTTTTCAAACCTTTTTTGTGCTGTTGACCATTTGCACAAACTATCCGAAACCAACATCCCAACTGTCATTATTGACAATCTCCCAAATTTTGGGGGCAGCAGCAAGTTTCGTAACTGTTACATATGTTCGTTGTCAGTGTCAAATTGGCCCAAAGGATTTTCTTTTCCAAAAGCTTTCTGGTATCTCATTTGCTCCTGCATGGAGCACCCTTAACGATGGCAGCTCCAGCACTTCGTGTGGAATGGTCCCACTCAGATCATCATTGTCCTGCAGCAGAAGCTCTTCCAACTGTGTCAAAAGACCCAATTCACTTGGAATTGTGGATTGCAATTTGTTCGAATTCAAGTCCAACAGAGTCAAGTTTGTCAGGAGTCCCAAGGTGGTTGGTAGCATCACAGATAGCTTGCATTGTGCAAACCTCAACGTGGTGAGAGAGGACTGTGGAAATGGTACCAAGTTCAGATTCAGCATATCCTCCAAAGAATCCTCAGCCTCAAAATTGACATCCAAGAAGCTTACTACTTCCAGTCCAGAAAGGAGAAATATTTCGGGAGGGATGCTCGATTTGGTTGGGTTATTCGAAACTGTTTCCACCATGATTTCTCGATACTGGCCTCTGTCATCGCACACACCCCGGGTTACGATGGATTGCCACATACATTCATCTCGGAAATAGGAGAGCCAAACATGTTTTTCCACCGCTATTTCCACGTACCGCAGGCAGGCAAAGTAGAGGCACGCTAGGCCAAATCGTTGTGTTTTTCGCCAGTCTGGAAACGAGTTCCAATTTGGATCATCTTCAATCCACTCATAGGCAAAATGTTGAGGTGATTGTGGATCCTGTATTGCCTGGATGGTGTCATTTCTAATATTTGGTACCAGGTAGAGATCAGCGTCGGATTGTGTCATTTTTTCAGAAGGGCTGCCACCGGTTGAGAGCGCTGTTGGGATGGCGATTGCCAATGCAATGACAACGATAACAATAACCCCAATGGCAAGCTTGTTTGATGCACAGGAGGTCTTTGATGTAGTTTCCACAGTACCTTCCCGCACATTACTTCCGTCCTCATGGTTTGCTTGGTTTTCATCCTCAGTATAGCCATCTTGGGGTGAAAAATGTTGGTTATCCACAGCACCTGGCAATCCTGGATAGGCACCCGGTAATTGCGAATTGGCAGAAATGGTAGTCGGAGTCTTGATGATACAACCTCTCTCGTCGTAAAGGACCTCGGGCCGGTTGGTGCGGTTCTCAGCTACCAGTACTTGTGGGGAGGCTGTAATTTTGGAAATACTATCCTTTTCGATTTCATAATCGGTTGCAGAGTTGTCATGACTTCGTAGGGCCACCATGCCCATCAAAAATTCATCATCGTCCTGTTGGCGTGCATTGACTGCTCGGAGAAGCAGTAACCTTTTGTTGTTGTCTTCGAGCTCCTGTCTTCTGCGGGGATCTCGATCATGAATGATCTGTTGGAGGTCTTCCAAGGGTATCCCTTCCTCTCCAGGTTCACCATGCTGCTGGTGGTAGTTGTGCCTTCCTGCTGGAGCAGTTGCCTCTCTTCTGGTGCCTCTTTGGTTGTAGGCTGAAGCCATTCTTCTTCGTCAAGATTATGGCAGCCCCATGCCTGGTTGTTGCTGCGCGTTTGCGTCTTGTAAAACTGTTGAGGTTCCACGGAACTCCGGACCCCCCTGGCTGCAGAACCGGTATCATCGCCTCTTCTTTGCTACTTTGCTGGCTTCTTATCAACTTTGTACGCAGTGACGTCATTCAAAAGGTTGACACCAATACTCTCGCTTGACAACATCCACAACGTCCAAACATCCTTCTCCCTCTCCACCCGGTACCAGTATCTCGAAGCTTCAAAACAAGCTCTGAGTGACTAGCCTGTGGATGGTATCAAACTGATGATGCTTCGCCCAGCATTGTCTTTCATCAGCTGTGGGCTGCTGCTATTGCCAGCATGCATCCTTCCTGGGTGCTTTTCATTGTCGCTGATCCCAACCAAACTGTCGGCAGTTAAGGAAGAAACGTCCAGTCTTTCTCGTCGAGAGTGGTGGAACACCAATCTGCTGCAACTCTCGGTGGGTGGGTTGCTGTCGACTTGGGTGCCGGAACATGCCACTGCAGCGCCCATTACTACCCCCTACTTGATGGAAGAATATTTTCAGCCTCCGAATACGGCAGCCGATCAAGGTCGCTTTTACTTTCCCACCTTGACACCTCCCTTTGCCAAACGGGCACCTACCAATACACTTGGGCCGAAATGCATGGGCATTGGAACAGCTTTGACATTTGCCAATGTGTCCGCGACCATTCGTTGCAACGTGGTGCAATTGGAATCCACCGGGGGATTGTGGGTGCATAGTCCCCATGGCCCACGGGAGAGTTTTGTTACCTACTCGATCAGCTGCAGGGTGATGTGGAGCATATTGTCTTGCCGTGCAATGCGCTGGAACACAAGGCTCCCATGAAAGCCTTTATCCAGAAATATCCAAAGGCTCAAGTCTGGATCAGCCCTGGCCAGTATGGTCCGTTTGGTAGCTGTGGATTGGATACCGATTTTGATACCAAGAAAACTTCGAGCACGATGGGATACCGTGTCGATGGCATTCTAGGCGACAACATGGCCCAACCACCAGCTGGGCCAAGGAATTCGACATGGCCATTTTGTATGTGGATATCCCGGAAAATGCTGGACCGGTATCGGAAGTGGCATTTTGTCACAAACCAACCAAACGTGGTGGCCACGGACGCGGTCGTGTACATTCCCACCGAGCCCCAACATTTTCACAACCTACTTTGACACGGATACTGTACGAGACGATCCAACCTTTTGGCCCAAGACGGTACTGCAGGCCGTCTTTTTGCCATTGCGAACAAACAAAACAACAATTATCCTGGCTTTGGCGCAATTGAAAATCGATTGGTCCGAGCTCCCATTTTGCGGGCATTTGCAGATGCCCGAGCCCCCAATGCGGTGAAGGATTGGGTGGCCAAGATTGCACTCAATTTGACTTTGATCGAATCATTACAAGTCACTTTGCCTCGCCCATTGCTGCCACGCCGCAAGATTTTGCCAGTTGCTTTTCGTATCTGACACCCATCATGGGCAACAGCAACAGTAAGCTCCCACCCATTGCCTGTCAAGATTGGGAACTACTCGAAGGGTTGAATCAGGTCATTGCCGAAAACAAGCTTGGCGCTCCAGCTACTTTTGACTACAAGAAAGATTGCAATAGCAAAAAAGGCAAATGAAAAGGTCTTTACTCGCTAGGTCCTCCTCGGCGTGGTCTATTCTATCACCTAGGACGCCGAGCCTCTTGCAAATCCTTCTGCCCACACCTATAGGCACAAAGCTTCCAGTGCTCGTAAACTGGAACAGTGACTTCCTTGTAAATCCAAGTCACACGAATCTGGTATGAATTGTCACGCTTAAAAATGAAATTAAGGATCATAGTAGTGGTGTTGGATTGCAGGTCAAGGCAGCAAACACAGCATCGTCTGGGCTGGGTAAACCAAAATTTCCAGTGCCTCTGCCGCATACTGTCATGGCCATCAATAATTGAACAAGAACATTTTAGTATTGTGTAGGTTGATTGAAACGAGAAAGGGTCTCAAGAAATGACATGGGAAAAAGAATCAAGCAATATGCATAAGGTGAGTAGATGGAATCATACGAATGGGTGGTCGGAACAGCGGGCGGCCAATGTGGACTCTTGCGGCTGACTGTCGGTCTGTTTGTTTTGTCTTGGCCGGAGTCCAAAACACTTGGTCCCCGGCGATGTCGAATCTCACAGGTCGAATTGTAACCCAACAGATACCCCCAATGACCAAAACTACCTTGGCCATGCGCCACACATCGAGTACTTCCCAAAAGGTACAAATCCACAAATGCATCGTAAAAGTCCTCTGGTACCAGTGAGGGGTCTTTGGCATCATACATGTCCAAATGAAGCGGTTGTTCTGGTAGGCTCCATTGTTGGTTGTGCCACACCGTGACATTTTTGCTGCGTCCATACTCAATGGCTGTCTTGACGGCAAAGGCAGTGTCGGAAGCCACAAAGAATGGCCCACCAGGCCGCAACATCGAAATACAATTCATAGCATGGTGTGTCATTTGTGTCATTTCCTTCTCGGATCGTTCCTTGACGGCATACACAGCACGGATATGAGCTGCAGCATATTCCCCCGGAACAATCCCCAGTCTGTCAAAATTGTCCTTGACACGCTGTGCAATGGGTGGGGCAGGAGTGAATGCCCAGTGCCACATGTGTCGAAACATGCCGAGCCTGCATGCTGTTCATCCCCTGGAGTGGATTGTCATCGTACCACTCTTGCCCATAGTCATTGGCTTGCATCTCACAAATCATAACTTGCATTCCAGACCAGTGGCATTGGCCAGTCGAACAATGTCTTGTTTTCTTCCACGAGCCTTGTTGGATAAGACGGAACCCGTCATGTAATGGGGTACACGCCAATCCAATCCACCTTCTGGAGGCAACAGATAATGCTCCAATGCAAAGGTTTGTTCCAATAAATCAACAAGATTCGATTGGTTCTGGCGGCCACTTTCAGAAAGAATGGCAGTGGTTTCAATCGATCGTCAATCCTCCGGCTTGTTCTCCTCGTCGAGCCACCATGACTAGATAGCGATAATGTGTATTCCAGTTGGTCTCATTCAGCTGAGCCCTTGTTTCTTGATGCCATGTGGCATATTCCTGCATCCAAGCAGGAAGGTTTGTGGTAATGGTGACTGGAGTTGGAGGCTCAGTACTACTCGCACTGATGTTAGCTTGTACCAAAAGCGACAATGGATCATTCTGGTCGACTGTCTCGTTGCCGACGCGAATTGTCATTGTCACATTCCCAGCGTCATAGTCCAAGGAATCATCCAAAGTAGCATCTGCAGCTCTGGGAGCCACCTGCAAGAGGCGCGAACTGATTTGCCAACAACCCAACCAGGAAACGATGAGTATGTTGATCACGATGATGAGACGAGGGTCGGCCAACTTGGTCATTGCAGCTCTCTGAAACAGAATATCTCTCTTCTTGAAACAATATATGCTGGGTTGCTGATCAATTAATTGTGGCGTGGTGCAGGTTAGCTTTATACCCAAAGCAATATCATTGTACTTGGTTGGGATGGATGGGAATATCCGTTGGGAAGGTGGTCGTTGTTATTGTAACAGTGAGAGCATCCAAGGCGCAAAAGCGGCAACAACCATCCTTCCCTTCCCCCTCTGGCTTGGACGCCTGGACCAAAAGAAAACTGGGTCAGCAGCAAATACCGTACGGTAGTGAAGGGTGGTTCAATGACTGCTTTGTGACCTTCCAGATTACACCAGTTTGACCCGTTCAAGACGGTGTCTCTGCCTCGTTGAAACAGAGGGTGGTAACGCTAACGGTAGAGCCGCACAGTACAAGGAAGACAAATACCAAAGATCGAAACTTTGGATTGATGCAATCCAGCTTAATGGGCTTACTTTAGTCATTGGAGTGCACCCGATGTCCTGGGAAAGAAGGATGCCACGAGGGCAAGATTGAAAAGAAAGGAAGTTGGTTGGGCCCACCGTAGGTTGTTCCGATTACTGCCAAATTTGGGTCCAAGCAAGGTTCCAGCACTGTCAGCCCTCACAAATCCAGCCACCAACACACACACAACCACTCAAAACCACGATGCAAACTGCGGTCAAACCCCGCTCGCGTGCCGCAACCCTGATAATGGTCTCTTGGCTCGGGTATTGGCGGGTGAACTCGAGGATCCTGCTGCAAGTGAGTGAAGACCTACGAACTTCGAGCCTCGACGAACCACTCAGTCCAGAAGATCAGGAATTCCTTGGCAACACCCCCAATACGACGACACACGGTCAGCTATTATTTATCGAGGAAGTTGCGCCCAACACGACACTGGCGCCACCCGAAACAACAATCCCGCCAGCAGTGACTATACCCAAAGATCTGACGGCAGATCTCCCACCGTGGCTGCAGGAATATGCCCAGTGGCATCGACAACAACGTGCTCGAATCAATGAACACAACTGGAAGTCCAAACGCAACAATTATCTCATTGTCACTGCCAGACGAGGTCAGCAAGCCGGAGGATTGACCGATCGATTGAAACCCCTTCCTCATTTCCTCAAATTGGCGGCCAAAACCAATCGAATCTTGTTGATTTACTGGAACAAACCCTTTTCATTGGAGCATTATCTGTTGCCACCCGACGGTGGATTGGATTGGCGTGTTCCCTTTTATATGGTGGAGGAAATTGTTGTCAAATCCAGAATCACCGCACGACAAGAAGATATTCGAAGCAAGGCACACAACAAAAGGTTCCAAATCGTCGCCACGGGAATGCAAGCACCCGACTATGGTCAAGACTGGTATGATGCAACCCCCTTGGAGGGCGATGAACTGCTCATACAATCGCATTGCCATTTTTCGACACATGTGGTACTGGGCATTCACTCCATCCCCTCCCATTGCACAGCGTGTCAAGGACAATTTTGACAGACTGGGACTTGTTCCGGGAGAATATGCTTCGGCTCATATTCGG